ATTAAGATAGATAAGACATCGAAGGAAACCTGAAAAGGAACAACAGCAGGAAAGCGTATCAACTGATCCAAGATCTAACAAACACAAAACAACGGCGAGTTACATCCTTACAGGACAAATCCGGAAACTGCCTCACCGAGGAAAAAGATATTCTGAAAAGATGGATAGAGTACTAAGCAGAACTTTACAACCACCGAGCCACAATAGATACAGAGGTACTGAACGTCCCTCCAGCAACTAACAACGACAACCACCCTATCATATGTGAAGAAGTAAAATTAGCAGTGAGATCGCTGAAAAAGAGGAAGTCATCAGGAATGGACATCATCCCAGCAGAACTGGTCCAAGCAGGGGTAGACTCAATGATTAGCGCCCTCACAAACATCTGCAAAAGATCTGGCAAACAGGAGTATGGAAATCACTGTGGACCCAATCACTGATCATCACCCTTCCCAAGAAAGTCACCTTGCGACAGTGTCAAAACCACTGCACAGTCAGTCTTATAAGCCATCTAAGCAAAGTCGTGTTGAAGATAACGCTGAACAGACTAAAGCCACAGGCTAAAAAGATCATTGCCAAGGAACAGGCAGATTTCAGAGAAGGTTGCAGTACAATAGAGCAGATCTTCAACCTAAGGATACTGTGTGAGAAGTACCTCCAAAACCAGCAAGATCTGTATCAAGACTTCGTGGATTTCAAGAATCATTTGACAGGGTATGGCATGAATATTTTTGGGCGACCATGAGACCTCACAACAGCAATGCTAACCTCATTACAGTAATATAAAACTTTTATGACAGGGCCATCAGTCCAGTGTACTTCAACGGCAGCATAGAGGACTATTTCAGAACGACAGTCGGAGTCAAACAAGGCTGTCAGCTCTCTCACACATTATTCAACATCTTTCTGACGAGAATAAAGGCTGACGCGCTTGAATAGCATGAAGGGACAGTCAGCCTCTAAGACAGAACAGTCACCAACCTACGTTTTGCCGACGACATTGATGGACTAACAGTAAATAAACAAGAACAAGCTAGCTTAATAGAGAGCCTCGACAAAACCTCTGCTGTTTAGGGCATGGAAATCAGTACAGAGAATGCCAAAATGATGACCAACAAAACCAAGGGCATCAGAACTGACGTCAGGGTCCAAGGTGCGTTGCAAGAAACAGTTCACAGCTTCCAAATACTCAGTATCTGGGGGTAATTGTAACAAATGAAGTATCTAAGCCTGAAACACTCTCCAGGATTACGCAGAAAACATAAGCGTTGACAAAACTGAAACCCATATTACACTGAGTTCAAAGGTCAGACTTATGTACTCACTGGTGATCTATATATTTCTCTAGGCCTGTGAATAATTGACCATAACAGCTGACTTATGAAAAAAAGGATACAGGCCACAGAGATGAGATGCTTCCGAAAGATTCTCGGCGTCTCATACAAAGACCGTGTCACCAATGAAGAAATAGAGCAAAGTATCAAACAAGCGATTAGGCCTCTCAAAGACCTCCTAACAACAGTAAAAAAAAAAAAGAATTAAACTGTAGTGGTATGGGCATGTCTCACGATCATCAGGACTTGCGAAGACAATCCTGCAAGGCACTGTACGAGGAAGAAGAAAGAGAGGCAGGCATAGAAAGAGGTGGGAAGACTACATTCAGGAATGAACAGACTTGATACTGAGCTAATCACTGAGAAAGACGGAAAATCGTGAGGAATGGAGGAAGATGATTGTCCGGTCTCATGCGGTGCTCCAGCGGGCTACCAGATTACGGGATTGAATATGATGATGAAGATAAATAGATTTAAATGTGAAGAAAAATAAATAAGTCCTGTTACAGATGTTTTAAAATCACGCCCTAAAGTTCATCCTTTTGTAAATGTACCCATTTCGGTACATATACCATGAACATACGCGATGTGACATCCAGTCAGCATATCAAAAATTGCCATACATTGTAATTTTTTTAGAACTAATATGAGTTTTATGGTTATATTGCTGGAAATCCTGAAAAAAATTGACCTTTGTTTTTTTTTCTTCAGAACATACCGTGACACGTGCTACAGTATACCGCTGTTATACTGGGGACCAACATTTATTCGGCAGAGGCATGCTCTCATCTAGCTGAAAATTATCTCGATCCGATAAATAGCAAGACAACACATGCTATATTCATTACATTATTTTAAAAACTTAATTAACTTGCGATAAAATAAAAATATAACTCATCTCGAAAGAAAATATAAGCCCTCCCCCCCTAGTCATCGCCTAATAGTAGACGAATTTGCCAGGTGTGTGTTAACTGTGGTATAAGCTGTATTCTAAAAGCTGTGCCTAATAGTGGAATCATTAAGTTCACCCTGTATCTGATACTCTGTAAAACATACTGACCTTAGAAGGCTTGTTTAATGAAAATAGGAGTATTGACCATGAAACCTATAATTTACTAGCTGCGATATTTCTGTAAATAGAAAGGGAAATTTTCCGTTGCATGTCAACACCCGGTCTAGACAATTATCGGAAAGACCGACTCGGCAAACGAGAACATTTAATGTACGAGAGCAATTACTTAAAATTCAAAACAGAAAACAACTAGTCTCCTGTAAATCATAAGATTATTCTCTGCCTTACTAAGAAATATGTGTTTATTACATTCATATACACTAACAAATAAGTTTAGAAAGTGACACAATTTCTTCCTTTTTAATCAGAATTTTGTCTCCAAAAGTTAAATTTCATCTGAATACATATCTCACCATTCCATTCGGCCGCCTTTATGGTATTCGTGGTACGTGTAATACATGTGGTCCAGGGTTTATCAATATATTTGTATCTGTCACAGTCCATGAAAAACATACTTTATATGTCATTAGATTGCTAACAAGCTTACTCTAGAATTTCCATATATTCCCTACTGACGGAAATTACCTAAGTACTGGTACAGTGAAAAAAGTACCGTGATACTAGCAAAAAATACCGCGGTAAACCGGTATACCGGTAATACTGTACACCTTTAACAGATTGCATTACAGGGTTTGCTACTAGGTAGAAATGCGGTTATTTTCTAAGATTTGGCTAAAAACTAAGACAAAACAATCTGTTTCGAAACAGCCATTTTTTTTCAAACGTACAGGAGAGTGCATGACCAGGCATTTCCACACATTGGCAGTCCAAAATTTAACTACAGTTGTTAACGATGACGGAGGTGAGTTACCACAAGACAAGACCATACTTATGTAATAAGTTAGAAATAAAATCCCATGCATATAGCACGTACTATCATTATATGATGCTCATCAGGCACAACAAAATTTAAAAAAAAAACAGTACAAAGAGCTTTGATAATTTTGTTTTATTTATAACATTAGTTATGGGAATGTATTAGAACGTAATAATAGGGTTGAAATATTTGTCTTTCATTATGATAATAAGAAGACGACAAAGATAATGAAATTCATCCCTTCTAACATGTGACAGGCCAAGAGCTCAATTTATTTCGTTAATGTGAACGTTAGCCCATCTTCCAGTTTCAACAGGAAACCTACCATTTGAAGTTGTAAGCTTAATTAAAGTTTGAAATATAATTTTCATCATGAAACATGGATCCTTCTTAAATATAAACTGGTTTTAAATAACCTGTAACTAAAACCTTTACGTTACGTATGGAGGGTCGACGGGTGGCTAAGTGTTCTAAGGGCTAACCGTGACAGATTTCTATGCACAGCTCATTTCTATCCGTTTTCGGGTCTTGGCTCGACCACCGTGAATATATGAGAAAGCTGCCGGTAGCTTTCTGGGGCCTTCCCGAGTTTTACATTTACCAAAATTTTCTTGCCACCATGTGCTGAAAAATGGCGCTAAACCCTACAAACACAAATTTCCCAGGTATGTCTGTAGTTCTTTGTTAATTTGACTGACTTACAATTGATCTCTCCATAAGTGGCTAAACCCATCATCAACTAATATAAATTTTACTTAAAATATTTTAAAATGTTTGTATCAAAGAGAATACATATAATCAGACAAGTTTTCTTCACAACAATTAACGAACCAAATCCATTTGTTTATTATGTCTGAGAGAGAGAGAGAGAGAGAGAGAGAGAGAGAGAGAGAGAGAGAGAGAGAGAGAGAGAGAGAGAGAGAGAGAGAGAGAGAGAGAGAGAGAGAGAGAGAGAGAGAGATTTTTTGTTACATTCGATGTACTTATGAGAGAATTATGCATTAGATCTGACGAATTCCTCATATTTCACCATATATATTAAAATCGATACATTTGTCTTATCGTTTTAACAGTTTTAGCTTTAGTTGACAATCAATAAGAAGATCGTAACTGTGTATACTCTTCTAAAGTAAATACATACCTTTACTTGCTATATATACTGTATATTTCAGATAACTTTGAATAATTTCGCATTCATGTGAATAATACACCCAACTATTTATATTCAGTCACAATGTTAATATGGGCATTTATTCTCTTAAACATTGAACATATTTACAAACTCAGTATGATGAGGGAGGGTAAAAGCACAACTTCGACGTCCATTGTTAATACAAATTATTCTGTTATTTATAAATCAAGGAAACAATAATGGAAAAATTACCATTTCCTTACAGTTCTACAAGAGAAAAAATTATTTTGTTATCATTAGAAATGCTTAATATAACATTAAAACACAGTCCCTAAATGTATATAGAATATAACCTCTACCATAAACGAGCTCTCCGTACTTTTACATTTACATTTATATATTATTTTTTAAAAACGTGCTTTTGCAATGTCTACAAAATTTCATAAGGCCATACAAGAAATATATTGGAAGTTAAAGTAAGAGTTTACACTAATGTTATTTGATTAAATAGCTTTAGCTATTTGTAATTACAATGTTTTAATGTAGATGTACTAATCGGGCCAAAATGCGCGGTGTATATACCAAAATGAGAACATGAACCTAGAAGCATACCAAGATCAGTGACTTTTACTTTATTTCTTGACCGCTCCTGTAGCCTAGTGGTTAGAGCGTACGTCTTGGATGCGGAAGGTCGCGGGTTAGAAACCCGGCCGAGTCATGCAAAAGACTTTAAAAAGTGGTACTCAGTATTAAGAGGTTAGTGTTAAAACCAATGTTTCCTCTAAGGTGCGCGCAGCTCATTTGAAAATGCAGCGCAGCAGTTTCAAAATTCCGCTCAGAAGTTTTGGCAGAAAATACATATGCCGCGATGCAGTTTCAAAATACCGCGCACACATGAAAAATATTAGAGGAAACGTTGGTTAGATCTGACCTGGACATGTCTGTGGCATGATGCTCCAGTGATCGACATCATAATAAACTGTGACACTGCAGACATCATAATAAACTGTGACACTGCAGACATCATAGCGATATGACTGAAAAATTGTTAAAGCTACGTTAAAAATCACACACACACATAGATACACACACAATCTAATATAATCTAATCTAGAGATTACATCTACTAGGTAGATAACAAAATACCTAAGAAGCAAGGCAAGGATAATATTAGCGATCGATGAAACAGTGGAACACGAGAAAATGACATATTATGCAAAGAACATGCAGCTTCTACTACTACTACTACTACTACTACTACTACTACTACTACTACTACTACTACTACTACTACTACATCAATTTGTCACGTTCCGTTTCTGACTTACTTCTTCACTTGCAAATCTCAGTACAGGATGCTTTTGTAATGAAAGATTATGTTTCTGGTTTTGTAAGAAAATAGCTTGGCCAAAGTGTCAACAGGGAGTAACAGGGCTGCAAACAGACCAACAAAAGACATTGCGGATACATTTATTATTATCTACGGGTAATGATATTAACATACGCTTATGCAAAGATAATGTACGGATATTGATGCCAGCATTCACGTAAACGAAGATAATGTACGGGTATTGATGTCCGCATACACGTATAACAAGACAATGTACGGGTAACGATGTCAGCATACACGTATACGAAGATAATTTACGGGTAATGATGTCAGCATACACATATACGAAGATAATCTACAGGTACGTTGGGGTGCTTAATCCATGTAGTTGCGATGAGTACAATTGCACATTATAAAGTTGACAAGATCTGTCTAATAATTAATAAGCTTACAAATAAAAATATTAATAAAAGCATTTATATCTAGTTGGAACTAATTTAGTGAAAGTTTACGTAGATTTTATTGTGGTTAGTATATCTAAAAAAAACCCCACAAAATAAATAGCCTAAACAGTTTTACTGAATCAGAGAAATCATTCAGCTTTTTTGTTATGGTATTTGCTGGAAAGACCTATCTTTCCTTTGTAACCGTTGGGCTGGCAGCTTGACACTTCGTGGCTTGTAAAGGACTAATAATCAAAACGAACCTTTTGTGTTTTAGGCTGATATTTTATATTGATATATGACTGAATTTCATGTATATATGTTTATATGGTCGTCCTCCTACCCAACCCGCGATGATCCTCTCCAAGAGAGTCATCATTTACCAATTATAAAAATAGTTTAGAGCTGGAAACTTTTTAAGAATGCATATGCTGTCAAATTTATATATGAGAAGAAATAATATAATAAAGATTACAACAGGTTTTTCTTTTTGGCCCCATCCCCTCGTTCGCTTACCTAAACTGAGTGTAGTAAACAAATTTCTTTCATTAGACTCGGTCAACAAAGTCACGCACTTCGTTGAAAAATTAGGTCTTTGACCTATTATTCTTTGTCAGGTGTATCCAAATCAACAATAACACAATCTAAATCTATTTGCCCGAAAGAACTAACATCCTTTGTAACCGTTGTGCTCACAGTTTACAGCTCGTGGGTTGTGAAGGACGAAAAATGACGGACATTTTCGTTTAGTGTTTAAGAAGGAGATTGTATTTGTTATATTTGACAACATTTTGCTGCGCTTATATTTTTATCCCCTTACCCAAGCCGTGACGCCCTTCTCCAGGTTCTTTTCCATTCCCTTCATATTTTTTTTTGCACTATTACCAGTCGCTACATTTTAAGGATGCACACACCCTGGAAATGCCACGGGTGATATGATAACACATAATATAGAAATGCTATGGTGGTATGGTAATCCACTAAACTGACTAATAATAGTTTTGTAATTAAATGATTCTCTCATGTCCAGTTAAAACAAAATAAATAAGCTAGACCCACATTCCCACATTGATGTAAACTGACTTTCATTCCAGCGAGAGTCCCGTCCCGTTGGTAAATACAATAATTAAAATATAACCAGTTTTAACGGTAGTAGTTAATGATTTATTTAATTTACATTTATAATTAGACAACACAAACTTTTTTTTATTACATATGAGCTAAATCGGCCTTAAGCAGTCGAACCAATAATGCTCTCTTAAATGATGATGATTATGAGGACGATGATGATGATGATGATGACGACGATTATGATGAAAGGCTAAGACCCGAGTAAATGGAATGTTGTTCAGCTTCCAGTGCCTAAGCCGGTGAGGTCCTTTTGCTAAAATGGTGCATATCTTATTGCCATTAAGTTAATATTATAATGAAATGTGTAAATATTTACTGGTTATCAAAAACAAAAATCATTATGGTACTTATTGTGTTTTTAAAACTGTCGTAATATAAAAGATTGTTTGATGATTGCATGAAAAACAACTAAATCCATGAAAGTCAATTTTCTTTTCTTGATAAATCAAAGACTCTTGACTGTGTGCACATTTGTTATGGCGTCGCGCAAAAATACTGACCAGTCAGAGGTTTGCTGGGAGGGTTGGGCGTGGGGCTAACAACTCGACCCTGTAGAACCCAACTTGTCACAAAAACGACAATTTAAGAAAAACTAAAAACTGAAATCCTGAGAGAGGAAGAGTCTTCAGGAAGACTTATAACGCTCTGAAAAGCCTAGAGCTAGCGGAAACCATAAAGCAGACCACCCTTCTATCAATCAGGAAAATTAACATCACAACAGGAAACGTGAGGACAATGTATGAGGCAGGAAAAACAGCACAGGTGGCAGCAGAATGACAACATATCTCTACTGGGCATTAGTGAGACAAGATGGACTCGATCTGGACAAAGAAGATTGATTACTACTGTATTCAGGACACGAGTAAGATGATGCACATCATACACAGGCGGTGGGGGATCATGATGTCGAAGCAATCACATAATGCACTGGTAGGATGGGAACCACATGGACCCAGAATCCATAAGGAAACATTTAGGACCAAGAAAGAGAAAATAAAAATGAGTGTCATACAGTGCTACGCTCCAACAAATGACGGCGAAGAAAAAGAGAAGTACCAGTTTTACAACAAACTACATAAAATAATAGAGAACTTCCAAGACAAATATATTAACATCTTCATGGGTGAATTCAATGCCAAAACTTGGTCACATAACACAGGGTATAAACAAGCCAAGGTGATTAACTGCTTGGTGGAAATGAACAAAAATGGAGAGAGATTAGCAGACCTTTGTGCACTGAAAAACTTAGTCATGGGGATACCATCTTTCCCCACAAGAACACATGGATATCAGCAAACCATGTGAAAAAAAATCAGATTGACCACATCTGCATAGCCAAGAAGTTCAGAAGATCCCTGCAAGATGTGAGGATGAAGAGGAAAGCAGATTTGGCATCTGATCACCACTTAGCATTTGCAAGGCTGAAACTTAAACAGAAGAAGAATTGGATGGGCACAAAAGAGAAGAAAACAAACATCATCCTGTTGAAAGATGCAAAAACTAAAGAAAAATACAGATTTACGCTTAACAAAAAGTTTCAAGTGTTACAAGAGCCTTTTGAAGACAAGGAAGACAATGCGAGCAGCAAATGGCAGAAAGTTAAAGAGGCAGTAAAATCATCATGCCAAGATGTTCTAGACCCCATGAAGCACCAGCATAAAATAATGAATTTCAGCCAATATATTGCGCAAATCCAGGAGAGGAACCATAAGAAATCAGCACCACTGAACAGCAGTACGACAAGAGCAACAAAAGTAAAGGTAAAAAAAGAGTACACTGACGCTCACGGAAGAAGTGCAAAGAAACGTCAAGATAGATAAGAGAAACTACGTGGAAAACAGGCAGCAGAGGCAAAATAAGCGACCGGAAATGGAAACACGAAGAGGCTGTACGACATCACCAAGAAGCTGTCCGGCAAGTACAGCAAAACAGAGAGGCCCGTAAAGGACAAACAGGGTAAAACCATAGCAAGTACAGAACACCAAATGAATAGATGGGCATAATATTTTGAAGTACTGTTGAACAGGCCAACACCAGTAAAACCCCCCAGAAATCCATCCAGCCAAAACAGATCTCCTCATAAGCTGTGACAACCCTACCAGAGAGGAGATCAGAAAAGACATCACCCAGCTAAAGAACTGCAAGGCAGCTGGACATAATGACATCACAGCAGACGCTCTCAGGGCAGACATAGAGGCTTCATGCTATACCCCCTCTCTGAGATGATCTGGAAGGAAGAAGGAAGAAAAAATACCGACTGACTGGAAGGAGGGATACCTCGTCAAGATTCCCGAGAAAAGCGTCCTCACAGATTGCTCCAACTACAGAGGAATCACACTCCTGTCAGTACCAGGGAACGTTTTCAACCTGGTTCTCTTGGACTGGATGAAGAAGGCCGCAGACCCACATTTATGAAATGAACAAGCGGGCTTTCGGCATAACAGATCGTGTTTTGATCAATTAGCTACTCTTCGCATCATATTCAAGTAATCGTTGAAGTGGAACTTTTCGTTCTACATCAACATTGTCGATTATGAGAAGGCATTTGACAACTTGGACAGAGAGACAATGTGGAAACTTCTTCGCCACTACGGTGTCCCAACCAAGTTGGTGAACATGATCAAGAACACTTACAACGGAATGACCTGGAGAGTCATCCATGCAGGACAGCACACATTCATCTTCCAGGTGAAGACTGGTATGAGACAAGGTTGCTTGCTGTCGCCGTTTCTCTTCCTTCTCACTATTGACTGGATTATGAAGACGTCCACCAAGGGGCGGAGGAATAGGATCCAGTGGACATTGTGAAGTTAACTTG